TGATGATGATGTTGTTGCAATTGGAGATGTATTCTTTGCTGATGTTGAGAAAGAGTGGGTGATGCAGCCAGGTGGTCCTATTGCACACAAATCTAAGAGTCTGATTGAACCAAGTCGTCTTATCATGCTCACTGCCCAGCGATTCATCCAAACATTCATGGGAGGGAACTTTATAGCACTTCATTTTCGGCGTCATGGGTTCTTGAAGTTTTGGTATGGTGTTCTTTCCCTTTATTTATTGCTTCCATGTTTACCAGGCTTGCTTCTACTATCTTCTGATCAACAGTTTTGAAACATGTAAAACTTTAAATATGCATTACCAGGTAATGCTTGTGGGTTTTAATCCTTGTAGTCATTCTTAGGTATTTCTATCTCGTTTTACTCTTATACCAATTATATTTCTGTATATTCGCATTCATAGAGATATGCATCACAATGCCCCTGACAATTCTTACTTTATTTTGTCAGCAATGCCAAAAGTCTAAGTTGCTTTTATCCCATTCCTCAAGCTGCTGCTTGCATTAATCAAGCAGTTGAAAGGGCCAATACTCCAGTAATTTATCTTTCTACAGACGCTGCAGAAAGTGAAACTGATTTATCGCAGTCCCTTGTTGTGCTAAATGGGAAGATTGTACCACTTGTGAAGAGGCCAGCTCGAAATTCAGTTGCAAAATGGAATGCTCTGTTATATAGACACAGCCTTGATGGAGATCCTCAGGTAAACATGATTTCTTTTCTATTTTTTTAGTTCAAATATACATAACAAGCCATTATCCAATATTACATATACATGTCTTTGTTCTTTTCATTGGATGCANAGTGAAACTGATTTATCGCAGTCCCTTGTTGTGCTAAATGGGAAGATTGTACCACTTGTGAAGAGGCCAGCTCGAAATTCAGTTGCAAAATGGAATGCTCTATTATATAGACACAGCCTTGATGGAGATCCTCAGGTAAACATGATTTCTTTTCTATTTTTTTAGTTCAAATATACATAACAAGCCATTATCCAATATTACATATACATGTCTTTGTTCTTTTCATTGGATGCATACCATCAATAAACCTAACATTTACAACCCGTTTTAAATATATTGTCAATTATTTGGGAAGTATGTTGGGGTTAGAATGCATTTAGTTCAACTAGTTGGTGCACGTGTGCGTTGAATGCCAAATATTTTGAATTTTTGTAAAAAAAATAGATAAATTGAACAAATTTTCTTTGTATATAGAGATAATTATATATTACATGATGGTTATTGAATTTTATGGGTTCACTTGTCCACTTGTTAGTGGACAGTTACAGAAAGTGGCACTGTTAACATGGGGTACTTGGGACTCTCAAGATTTTTCTCGTATTTTGAGTTATATGAACTGAATTGCATAAGGTTCAAAAAAGAAAAATGAATTGCATTGCATTTAAAAATTGTAATGTTTTACTTCAGTAAGTGATTAATAGATGGATGATTACTGATTTTTTGGACTAATAAGAAGTTACTACAATAGGTTATTATTGTCTTTTTAGCTTTTTAAGGATAGTATTATCAATTAAGTTTTTTTTTTGACAAGTATTGACATTCAAAAGTAGTATATAGATTATTAGATATATTCAAATATTTATTTTTTAGCGAATTTGGATATGCACTATGTACCTACAAACATATACAAATATATGATGTAATTTGGTGATTATTTAATAAAATTGAGTAGAAATTCAAGTGTTAAATGTTAAAATCGTCTCTAATTTATTTATTCGAATCAGAACAAATATCTATTTTAACGGACTCATATATGCACTGTGAAAAATAAAATTTATTGAACAATTGAATTGGATTCGGATCACATTGTTTAAATCAGATTTGAATCATTTTATATTGTTTGGAAAAAAGATAATCAAAAGTCAAATAATGAATTTATTAGTTCAACTAATACAACTAATAAAAAAATAAAAAATTCCTCAAAAAATGATATAATAGACATTATAGAATTTTTGAAGGATAAATAAAAAAATCAAAACTTTTCTCTTAAGCCACTTTAAAAAGGTTAAAATAAACATTATAAAATTATTGAAAGATAAATAATGAAATCAAAAATTTTTCACTTAATTTATTTTTATTAGTAGTATAGATTTGCTTCTAGAATTTTCCATCTAGTATATAGGGCGCCTTAAATGTTGGGCCTTTGTTGCTCTCTTTTCAAATTTGATGCAAAGCATGTATAATAGGCTGCTATATCTTATTAAATCAGATCTAACCATTATATTTGTGAGGTTACGAGGCAATCTTTCCACTGCACCTATAATGACCATATATGTTGGTGTTAATGTAAAAGGATTGAATCTTTGGTTTTTCATTTTATTAGCTTATACGAATCCATAGGCTGTTAAAATAAAAACAAAAATTTTATTTTGGATCATTGCTTCTTTCAAGAGATGGAATTTTTTGCATTTTATGTTGTGCAATTTGAGTAAACTTGTTGTCTAAGAAGTCCAGACGCGGATACGATGCGACACGGACATGCAAACACGATATTTTTCAAAAACATAGGACACAAACACGTTATATATAATTGTGTTTTATATATAAAATTATATAATTTATCAAAAATATAGTGTTAATGATATATTATTTATACAAAATTTAGTATTTTATGATAAGTATATGTTATCTCTAATCTATGAAGCACGGATACGGGTACGATACAGATACGACAAAATCTAAAAAAGTAGGATGCGGGTACGGTCAAGATACGAATATAATAAAATATATTTAATATTTTTATTATTTTTAATATTTATATATTTTGGTAGTTCTTTAACACAATAAGAAAAATTAATAATTTTTTTTTAATTTCAAAAAAATCACTACAACAAAAATCGTTTTTTGCGATGATTTTTTTCGTCGCTAAATTAAAAAAAATCATCGCCAATTGTTTTTTGCAACGTTTTTTTTTCTCCTCGTGTTCGTCACAATAGCCTCGTCGCATAAAATATTTTGCGACGTAAATTTATTTTCATCGAAAAAAAAAAAAATTTGCGACGAAATAAAATTGTCGCTAAAATATATTCCACCAGAGTTAGAAAATAAAAAATAATAATTTAATTAATTTTTCGCGACGCAAAAAAATTGTCACGAATAATTTTTTACATATATAGAAAATAAAAAATAATAATTTAATTAATTTTTTGCAATGTAAAAAAATCGTCGTGAATAATTTTTTCATAAATAAAAATGTAAAAAATAATAATCATCTCCAAGCTCAACACTATCCAGGATCTGCATAATCAAGCTGACCACCACACACAACCAGTCCATTAAAATAAATCTATCAAATACATGGAAAATATTAGAACTTAAAATTTATAGGCCATCAAGAGAATTCAAAGTAAGCTCTATCATTTAACAAAACAAATCTATCAGATGATATCCAAAATAAATTGATCTAGAGAAAATATTGTATAAAACGAACACATGGAAAGATTATAGGTACATACATATTCATGAATATAGACGGTGAGAATATGTTTGTTTTAAGTGTCATTCAACTTGTCAATAAATTTAGATAGAACCATGGCTATAAGTATAGCTGGATTAGCTCATGACTTACTACTGATGGCGTTAGGACTCACAGATCTGTAAAGAGTAGGGTATCCTATGGTTAATTAGTTATATCCACTACCTATGCACAAACAAGAGTGCCACCGCCTCTTACAACCAATAAAAGAATATTAGCCGCCTCATTTTGTCCCCTACAAAATTCTCTAGAGCTTCTGCCTCAATTACTACACTCATAAATGTCACAGTACTGATTTACACCAATACCCCTCAGAATTAAATTATACCATAAGTAGCCCTGAAATTTAAGCATCGGTATAACAAACAGAAAAACCTGCTGCTACAACCAATACGAGGAATCATTCAAATTTTGATTGGTTGGATAGGCAGCACGTTTGAATTATAATTTACTTACACGTGAACAGTTTAAAATTTTTGATTGTTTGACAAGTTTTGAAACAAATCATCCATATAGTGCCCTTGATCCACCGAATCATTCTAATTTTTGTTATAGTGGTAACACAAGAGGTGCACTGACATTTTCTACAAAAGTAGAATCCTATGAATTACCACGTGCCCAACCCATGGCACAGACTAGTATTCGTAAAAAAGGCCACCAGACACCTGGTGCGTAAACACTGACTTAGAATCAGAAAGAAGCATGTTGATATGTACTAATTGAATCAGGAAGTTGTAGTTCTTACCATTGGAGCTAAGAATAATGAAGCATCTGCAACCCGAGAAGTAACAATAACATTGGGTTTGTACCTTTCCATACATTCAACAACTGGAGTAGCTCCCATATAAACACTAGTGCCCTGCGTAAATAAAACAGAAAAATATCAGCCAATTTTTTATTTACAAGGGAAAAGAGGAGGATGGAAAAGGAATAACAGGAAGTAAATGCTTCAAGTATAAAGAAACAGGGAGACTCAAATTCTCATCTGCAGGTCCCCACCCCCTCGCAGAAGGGGCAAAATGATAGAAGCATACAAGTAGAGGAAGAATAATTGCAAGAGTAAGCAAGTCAATATGTGCCCACTTACGCAGGATGTCCATAGACCACAACAGATATTTGGCATGACATGGCAACTTATAGCATGAGTCCAGAAGTATAAATTAATGGAGCAACTCGAAACTAATACTGAGGGGGGTACCAAATTCTTACATCGTCAGCATCTCAGGTGAGGATCCAAACCTGCAGATGCAACAAAAACAGAATGGTCTTATTTCTGCTGTTCTCTTTAACTTTTCTGCTGCTGATAATGGAGCAGTGGTGTGGGAGATTGTGTGCTATGCTGCTTATGCAGTATTCCTGTGTTGCTGCTGGTACTTGCTGAGCTGATATGTGCTGAGAAGGAGCTGATCTGTAATGCTGTTGCAGCAGGAGCTGAGCTGGGAAGGCAGGAGCTGGGTTTGTAGTGCTGAGCTGATGTGGCTGACTGTCAAAGTCTGCTGCTGGAAGTTTAAGCTGGTACTGGGCTGGCCGACTTAACAGGAGCTGACTGGAGAAGAGGAATGCTTTTGCTGTGTGCAATTCATTCAACGATATGAATACCTAACACTATAAAATGTACAAAAAGCAAATACAAACAGATATAACTAATTTACGATGGCAAAATCCAAAGAGAATGATGTTCTGCGACAAATATCCCTGGGGAAAGAGAAATTATCCTTGGGGGCCATTGTTCTCAACAAATAGGCATCTCATCAGAACTAAAAAAGAAAAAGAGAAGGGGAAACAATGAGCAAACTTCAGAGAAGATAGCATCTCCTGTGCCTCACAAAATAATTGAATTTTGTAATGAATAATGAATTTAGACTTCTTACAAACAAGAACAAATTGAGATAGCAGCACTGACTTGGCTGCCTTTTAAACTTCAAATGACAGAATGGATGAGATAAAGAGTTTTCAGAAGGATTATCTCCAAACTAGATTATATTCTATTTGTAACCTGATTAGTTAAGTAAAACATATGAAAAGAATTGAGATGAAGAATGAAAACGTGTCAAGTAGAAAGATACTTTCGTAT